GTCTTAGGAAATATATATACCTATATTAAACACCTCCCCTACTGAGATATACAGAACATTTCTTTTTTTTTTTCTTTTTGAGTTGGAGTCTAACTCAGTTGCTCAGACCGGAGTGCAGTGGCCGCTCCTGGCCACTGCAGCCTCAACCTGCTAGGCTCTGGTGATCCTTTCCCCTCAGCCTTCCAAGTAGCTGGAACTACAGACACGCGCTACCACGCCCGGCTAATTTTTATTTTTATTTTTATTGTAAAGATGAGGTCTCACCAAGTTGCCCAGGCGGGTCTCGAACCCGCAGGCTCAGGCAATTCACTCACCTCGGCCTCCCAAGGCATGGGATTACAGGCTGAGCCACCGAGCCCGGCCAGAACATTTCTATCACCCTAAAATGTTCTCTTATGATCTTTGCAGTAAATTCTGGTCAGGTATTATGTAGAATGTCGCTCAATTTGGGTTTGCCTGATGGTTTCTAATGATTAGACTGGGGTTATGGGTTTTTGGCAAGAATGCCACACAGCTGATATGTCCTTTCCATCACATCATATCATGAGCTACATGATATCAGTATGTCTTTACAGGTGATGTTAGCCTTGATCATCTAATTAAGATATGACTGACAGTTTTCTCCATTATAAAATTACCACTTTCCCCTTTGTAATTAATAAATATCTTGGGGGAGACACTTTGAACCTATCTTATAAATATTTAAATTAGCACTATATACAACCTATTTTGAAATAGAGAATGTTGTCTTATTGAATTTAGTTTTGCCAGTTAAAGTGCATGGTCTAATTTTCCATTTTTCTGTTTTCCTTTATTTTTCTCATTCATGTTTTATAGTTTGTTCTTTAATGAGCATGGATCTGGATTAATAGGAAGACAGTGTAATAGAATGGAAAGAGCATAGTATTTGATATGAGGAAAACTGGATTTGAAGCCCAACTCTCCCACTTACTGGTGACCTTGAAAGAAGGCATTTAAACTTGACCCTCTAATTTCTAATTTATAAAAAGTAGCTAATAAGAAACCATCTCACAGGCTTTTGAAAGAATTACAGTACTTGGTAGTGTTTGCACCCAGTAAGTGCTCTATTATAAATGTCATTTCAGCCGGGCTTGGTGTCTCAGCCTGTAATCCCAGTGCTTTGGGAGGCTGAGGTGAGTGGATTGCCCGAGTCCGCGGGTTCGAGACCCACCTGGGCAACTTGGCAAGACCTTGTCTCTACAATAAATCAAAAATTAGCCAGGTGTGGTAGCGTGCCCCTGTAATTCCACCTACCTGGAAGGCTTAGGCGTAAGGATTGCCGGAGCCCAGCAGGTCGAGGCTGCGGTGGCCGGGAGTGGCCACTGCACTCCAGTCTGGGTGACAGAGTGAGACTCCAACTCAAAAAACAAAAATAAAGTCATTTCTTGCCTTCCTTAATACCCAGGTGTCTAATATTATTGTCACTATTTTAAGAAGACTCCTCTTTCTGACTCACTGAGTGGCTCTAGGATATAGGAATTCAACAGATTCTTTTAGATTTATTTTTTGTTCTGACACTACGGGACTTTAGTGTGGGGGAACCGCTGAACTTTCTACATGTTTCTAATTCACTGGGGAGAAAGCAGCTGGAACTATTTTAGTTGACAACAAATTCTTACAGCACACCCATCCTAAAATCCTTCATTACTTCTGGCATGTGGGGATTTGATTTTCATGGATGTACAATATACCATTTGCAAGAGTGACATTTTTTATTTCGACCACTTCTATATTTCTATTTTTTTGTTTACTTTTCTTTTTTTCATGATAGAACTGTTTTAAAGTATAATTTTAACAGGGGCAATCTTATGTGGTTCCTTTTTTTAACCAGAGTAAATCTAAAACATATGAGCTTTTGTTTAGAAAGATGTACTGTTATGTTGAGAGAGAAAACACTGTAACACCCCCAACCCTTGATTTTTTAAGGTTTAAGTAAAACTTTGCTTTCTCTGTCTTTTTTCCTTGCTCCAAGTTTTATTTCTCCTTTTCTAAATTGTTTGACTTAATATTTGTTCCCTTTCTAAGTTCTTTAAGCATTGACTTCACTGTTTCTTTTTTGTGGTATACAGGCTTCAAGAGCAACACATTCTCTAAATACTGCCTTGGCAATGTCCCATTGAGAGCTACTCCCATGAAATCAGTCTTTCCAATTAATTTTTCCTTTTGCCTCATGCTCCATTATGGCTTGGCCCAGCACTTTTACTGATTCTCTGTATTAAAAATTTGAATATTTTGTTCATCATGCAGGTTTTTTTGTAAATTGCATTCAAACATTTATTTTGATTATGGATTTTTCTGACCCCTGAGGCAAGTCCTCTCTCACCTCACTCTGGTCTGGTACTGGCCCAGTAGTAGCCTCCCAGACAAGTTCTGCTAATGGCTTTCTTTTGAAACGGAGTCCTGATGTCAGAGAGACTGGAACTGCCAAGGGAGGCCAAACTATTTGTACTGCCTACTGGGAGAGAATTCTGTTTATCTCCCTTTCAGTTCCTGTGTCCTCTTTCCTACTATATGAGGGGGACCCCAAAAAACCCAGAATTTATTTCTTTAAAAATTGTTTATTTATTCTTACATATTTAAACTTGTCACCTTCAAAGTACTCTCTGTTTGATGCAATACACCTATGGAGATGCTTTTGCCACTGCTCAAAACAGTTTTTGAACTCATCAATTTTGATGCCTTTGAGTGCTTCTGCTGTTTTTGATTTCATCTCTTCCATATTAGCAAAACATTTCTCTTTGAGGAGTTTTTTTCACGTGGGAAAACAAAAGTTGCTCGGGGCAAGATCAGATGAATAGGGAGGGTGAGGCATGGGGGCCATGCCATTCTTGGTCAACTTCTGAACACTCAGCACAGCATGGGCAGGTACACTCATAAATCACCCATCATGAAGTGGGCAAATGCATTGAAATAATCTCCAAAAAAACAATTCACAGACGCCGAACACAGTCTCTCACAACAATGCTATCTGGTACACTGATGCCAATGGGTTCCTAGAACACTTTCCTTGCGGGGGAAGCCTGTACTACAAGGAATTTGCCCTCCAAAAAACCATTCTGGATTTTTTTGGGTCCCCCTTTGTATGCCTGGTTCACAGCTCAGCAGAAGTCCTTGTCCATTTCCAACTGCTGGCATTGAGCATGGCCACATTGCTGTTGGGATGCCTGGGATCACTTCTTCATTTAGAGAGGTCAAAGGTCAGGGTTTCACTCTCCAGGAATAAACCCCAAGAGCTATTGAGCTCCTCCAGACCCCTGTCAGAGTCCTTGTGACCCAAAACATTCCTTTCTCTGCTGGAGACTGTCAGTTAGCTCTGGCAAAAATCAAGTTTCCTCACCCTGAACTTACCTCATCTGCATAAGTTTCCCAGAGAAATTATGGAAAAGAAACTTGTTCTTATAATTCTCAAATGTCAGGACTGGAAGGGCCCTGGGAGACCATCTTTCCCCAACCCCTTTCATTTAACAGAACATATAACTTCCTTTGCTCTGTTTCCGTGTTCCAAGGAATCCCCACAGCTGCCTCATAATAAAAATCAGGAGCAAGGTAAGAGCCAAGTTAATCAAGGAAGTAAACTACTATGGGACCCAGCTGTGCTCAGGGAGGATTGAATCATTAGAAATGCAGCCCTGGCTTCAGGATTTGTTTATTAAGGATTTTCTTCAAGGGTAAAGAGAAGGATCTGTGATGGCTCAACTCCAAAGCTTTTCATGGGGTGGGGTGAAACTGGAAAAGGTTTGATTAGCTTTCATCCGGGCTGGAGAGTTTTAAAGGTCCTACTTTGAAGGGGCCTGGCTTTACTTCTATTTGACTGGTTCAGGCATTGTGGAGAAGTTGGCAAAGTTTCCCTGTGTGCCTGTTACCCTTCCCCAAAAAGTGCCTCTCCGGGTCCCATACTCAGAGGATATGCTTTCAGTTCTGAAACCAAGAAAGCACTTCCAACTGTGTTAGGACTGACTTTGAGAGGTATAGCTTCCCATACATATCTACATTTGTAACAAGATCCACTCTGTACAAAACACTATTATATCTATTCCTCAGTCTGAGGGTAATTTTTAGCTACATTTTACAGATGAAGAAACAGACTCCGTCTGGAGGACTGCCTAAGGCCCTGTGAGTAGTTAAGAGGCAAAACTTTGACTGTAGAGTCCAGAAGGACACCACATCCTGTGCTTGTTCTACCAAGCCATACATCTCAAGGGTTCCAAAACATGCCATGAGGGCACACAGAAGACTAGTTAGCAGAAAGCCACAGGGGCAAAACCACCGTCTTGATCTGATTTGCAATGAATTCAGGCATTGTGATTGACTTCTGGTACATATAGAACAAATCTAGAAACTTAAGTGCTAATCCCAAATGAGACATTGGGACTCACAAGGAATTTACCCATCCTAGAGCTTTTTGTTCTGGGAATTTTTTTCTTTTCAGACTGGTAGAAGACAAGGAAATCTCATCAGTTGAAGGAAATTACTTATAAGAAGGTTTTATTCACACATGGGAGAGGATCAATCATTCTAGTTTTCTGGATAGTATTTAGCCATATGCAGTAAAAACGTGTGTGTGTGTGTGTGTGTGTGTATAGTAAGGCATGCAATGTCCATGGGTAATATACTTTCTTTGACTTGCTTTCATCTAAGCCCATCTGCACACTCTTTTAACAAAGACCGAGAAAGCTGTATTCTTGATTAGAAAGGGGATTATCAAGTTAGGTGTGCAATTCAGGAAGAAAAAGGAAAGGCACAGATAGCCAAACTCTAAATAGCCGTGAGTTGAGATTACTTGGGCAAACTGGACTACTTAGTGGCCTGGATGTGGATTATATACCTGTGTCTTAGGTGCTCAGATAATAACCCAGGGTAAGATCTGGACACAAGTTCAACACTATATAACTGTTCCTGGAAAATGAACCCATTCCCCTCCCTTGCCTCAGAAATAGCTGATCAGGAAAACAATGACACGTTTTTAAATTTTTAAATTCATGTTCTTGCCCAGCTTGTTGGACATCCTGTGTTTACACAGTGCAACCTCTCAGATGTATCAGGAAATACAATCATGTATTGTGCAGTTGACTGGCCTGATGGTAGGGATGCTCTAGCTGGGATGGAATGCTGCTGGGGAAGTAAGATGGAGAGGAGTTGAAGAAGCTGTTAGCTCACAGGTTAGTGAGCAGCCAGTCTAGCAGTTGTTTTCTAGCCATGTTTCCCACGGCTTCATCCAGTTGTCGTTCTTTGGCAAACCTCATGACCTCTTGAAGAAGATCTCCTACACTGTACCCCTTTTCTGCGGCCTTGGCTGAAACCTCAGGAAGCTGAAGAGAGGACAGAGCTAGTGAATATCACCCGATGCTTTTTAGAGGAAGGACAAAGTGTACTAACACTCTCCTACTCCCTCTAGTCCCACCCCCTTACCCCTTCACCCTTCACCCCTTCACATATCCCCCCGCCACCTTCCCACCCATGATCCTTGGAGTAGAATACAGTATGTCACAGATCTAGAGGCTGCTGACATGGCTTTCTTTTTTCCTTGAACCTTTTCTAGTGACATAGATCAAAATATCAAAGGTACTTTCTTTTTTGAGCTCCCCAAACAAACTCTGAAATTAATTGTATTCGTTAAATACTTTTTACTGGACCCATCAGTTAGTCTGTGCTAATTGCTAGGTCAAAGTTTGGGGCTGCCCTTCTCCTGCCTCCCTAAAAAAGTAGGAGATTAGAGGTAGGGAGGGTTGCTTGGCTTCAGCTCCTGGACTGAAAATAAGTTGGCTAAGTATTTGATTTTTCTGGATAATGCAGAAAAACCAGTTATGGTGTGTGTGTGTGTGTGTGTGTGTGTGTGTGTGTGTGTGTGTGTGTGTGTGTGTGTGTGTTGGCGGGGGTGAGAGAGAGAATATGTGCATGTGTATGAATGCTGGTCTCCATGGGATCTGAGGAGCAGGGCCAGGATGAGGTTGAGGCAAGTGAGGGACTTAGGGCATAACATTTAAAAAGACAGATATATTCTCAGGGCCTTTATAGGAGCCGTACATTTGGGGGATTAACTTGGGAAAAAAAATAAGAGGCTAGGTGATACTTTTATCACCTCAAGGGGGAAGGGGGCTCTTAAAACTCAAAACACAAGACATAAAAATCATTCTCCAATATTTTACCGGATAGTTTGCTGAAAAGGTTACTGATGAGCTAATCTCACTGTCTTCCTCTTGGAGGAAATGCACAGGACTTGAGGTGTCCACAGACTCATTTAGCTAGTGGTTCACTAGTGATCTTGTGCTCTAAGTACAATGCTGTCTCCCTGTCTCTGCCCATTCCAACTCTCTTTTTTCTTGTGCCTTGATGTATTGCTTACCTTCTCCAGTTGTCCATCGTCATCTCCCATGAAGTAGAGCATGGGCACGTTAAACTGGGAGGCTGCGATCCACTGCAAGACAGCCTGGAGCTGCTTCTGCAAGCTGCTTGTAGAGCACTGATTATTAACGATGACTTCAGGCCCAGGAGAGTCATGATAGTTGCGTGGCATTGCAGCATCCTGATTGCATCTGGGACCACGAAAGTTGGCATTGTTTGCCAAGGCTGCTTGTTCTTCCAACTCAGCAAGGGCTGCCCCGTTGTTGCTATACTTAGCCATGATAAGGCACAGCTTCATCACAGATTCTACCAGTTGATCTATAAATTGCCGATTCACTTGCTTCATCCCACTGATGAAGTCATGGTCTTGATTGTCCTGGCATTGTTCTTCCCCTCTGTCAGACCTTTTGGATATGGAAGTGGCTTTGCTTGCCCTGGGTTCAGAACGCTTGTTCTCACCTTCGGATAGATCATCACAGTTGAAGGTGCTCTCATTAAGCAGTTTCTGAATCAGCGTTAGAACGATGTTTGACATATCCAGCTTCTGGGAGTCCAGCTGTTGGTGCTCCTTCAGAGAGGTGGATGGACCAGGAGCTCCACGAGATTCTAGATGTTTCATTGAGAGTGCTTTGGCACTGTGGCCGCTTCCACACTTATCATATTGGGCACTCTGAGCCATATAGCCCATGGTGGAACCAGGACATTCTTCTTCAAATGCGTCTTTGCCCTTGGCCTGCTGGGTCAGATGGTACTGAATCAGCATGAGGGCAGAGACAATCAAGTCTTTGGCCAGTGAATCTGTGGAAGGGCTGATTTTTTCTCTTTTCTCATCTCTATTGGCGCATACTTTGGTAGGCATCTTGCATTGGTTTCCCTGCTTTTGGTTCCACATGGTTAGGCTCTCCTTGAGGATGTGTTCGCTGACTCTCTCAGCACTAGTCAGTGACATGCACTGGTCTGATTTTATTTTACCCTTATCCTTCCCTTTCATTTCAGCTTTCATGGCTGAGAACTCAAGATTCTGGTTCTTGCACTTGGGATCATGGGACCCAGCTTTCAAAGACGCATATGACAGACTGTGGGATTTACTTTCCTTTTTCTCACCAAGAAGGGCACTGACCAGGCGCTTCAGCATGGCCTCCATGATGTCTGCGGCATTTTGTTTCCCATGGTTGAACAGATTTCTCTTGACAGCTGAGACAAAGTCTGAGTCAGTCATCAGGACCCCAGTAATATTATGCAGGTTCTTCATGCAGGAATCAATCAAATCAGAGACGATTTCTTTGGTGTGCTTTAGTAACACCCTTTTCAGGACTACACAGGCTGGAATTGGCTTCCCAGAGCTGTGCACTTTCAAAGTTTTCATGACAGAAACCATCATGTCAGATGCCACCTGGTTTGCATACACCATGAGCCCCTTGCTGATAGAATCTGCAAATTCTTTGCTGTCTCTTTGGCACATCTGCTTGTCTCCACTCTTGTTCTTGCTGGATAATTCACTATACAGAAAGGTTTTCTGGCCACCTTCCTTGCACTCCTCCCCAGAGCCATGCATTTCTGCAGAGGTCACTTCCACAGCTTCATTGGCCATTTCAGAAGCAATCTTGCTCACAGCACTTCGAGGGCTATTTTTCCCTTTGTCTCCAGGAGATGGATAGATTGCATGATGGAGGCATCTACTTCCACCTTCCAATTTCTCCTTGATTTCCTTTCGGGCCATCTGGATAACCAGGGAAGATAGTCGGTTGACATAAAAGGAGAGGTCATCCATAGAACATTCTCCATCAGAGGAAATAACTGCTCTCTGACTGCTGGGAGATTTGGCTGGAGGAGTTGAAGGACTTTGGTTATTGTTGGTGTTTTTAGCTGCTGTCATTTCTAGACGTAGGTTATGAGATCCGTTGGAGAAACAATCCATGTTCAGTTGGTCAGCATAGACACTGTAGCAGTTCCCAGAGGGTACTTTGTGATATTCACTCTCTGTGTCTCTGACTTTATGTTTACAGCTAGAGGCTGAGGGGCTCAGTGCATGTTGGAAACCCAAGGCATATTTTTGGAGATCATTGAGAAGCCAATTGAGGACACTTATGGGATCAGAGGGAGCTTGTTTGAAAAGGCACACAGATCCCTCCGTCTAAAAAAAGAACAACACCTATCCATAAGAGTTTTGGTAGGCTACTTCTTTCCCTTGTTTAATTTAGAAGAGGTGCCCTCTAAATTGCACAGAATTGGGATTTGACCATTTAGAATTTGCATGTCAATATCCTGTTATATCGATTAATAAACATTCAAGCAGAAGTGGTAGCAATAAAAGCTCAGTGTATACACATACTTGCACATGTATCTATATACAAATGTTATCAATATGTTTGTCAATTTCATATAAGTATTGTATCTTAATGTGTAAATAAACGTTTCAATGTGTCTGTTGTGTGTGTATATGCAGAGCAGTATAGCAATTCATGTTGTGAACATCTCAATAGATGTGAGAATGTGTTAGTCTGTATTGTTATCATGTGAAAATATGGCAGTGTGTGTATGTGTGACTGACTATATGTAAGCATGTTTAATAATGTGTTGATGTTAACATTATTACCCACTGTATATGTCCACTGTATAGGCCAACGTGTGCATGTTAGTGTGCATATTTGAACATGTGTCAAAATATGAGTGTGCATTAGTGTGTTTCTGAGTATATAAATGAGCAGGTGTTAATTGAGCAATCTACATATATGTTTATGACATAAATTCACTAGTAATGCATCATGCAGCTATAAATGCATTTATGTATGTTAAAGCATAAATTCACATATTAACATATACATTCATTATTATAATAGATAATATTTTAATATATTAATGCATGCATGTTAAAATATGAATATGAGTAAATAGGTGATTGTATAATGACTTGTGTTAATAAACTGAGTATCAGTTTATGTTATATTTATATGTTACATCACTACTTGTAATGTATGTACTGGTCTATCTACCCTGGCATTTGAGTATATGTGTGAATTCATGGGTGGGTATGTCATTGCATTTGTTTCAATGTGTGTGTATCAATGCATAAAAACAAGTGTGTTAATGAGTATGTGTCACTTTGTGTAAGTTTTATGTGTATATGTCAGTATGACTGTGTATAATGACCATATGTGTCTTTGCATAGACATGTGTATTTATAAGTGTGTATGCCAATACCTGAGTCTGTATGGTCACTGTGTTTTGATCAAGGCTTGTGTGATAAAGTGTGTGAATGTATGTCTATGCATTGTGTAATATGGGTGTTTATGTGTGTCATGTGTGGGCATGTAGCTGCATCTGACGCTGTATGACTTTGTATATCTTTGCATATGTGTGTCCCTGTTTATGAATAGGTAGATCTGTTTTAGTTTGCTAAATCAATGCCTATGTGTGTTCATGTGAAATGTAGCCAGGGATGTGTGTATCACTGCTTGTATAATATTTTTTTTTTTTTTTGAGTTGGAGTCTCACTGTCGCCCAGACTGGAGTGCAGTGGCAGCTTCCGGCCACCGCAGCCTTGACCTGCTGGGCTCCGGCGATCCTTCCTCCTCAGCCTTCTGAGTAGCTGGAATTACAGGCATGCACTACCACGCCTGGCTGATTTTTTGATTTATTGTAGAGATGAGGTCTCGCTGCCCAGGCGGGTCTCAAACCCGCGGGCTCAGGCAATCCACTCACCTTAGACTCCCAAAGGTGAGGGATTACAGGCTGAGCCACTGAGCCCAGCTATAAATTGTTTTTGTTAATGTATATAAATGTATACATTGATGTGTGTCACTCTGTATAAATGTGTAAGTGTGGATCTATGCTTATGACAGTGTATGCCCATGTCTAGATATGTGACATGTACTATGCAAACATCTTCCACTCATCACTAAGTGCCATTGCCCTCTTTGTCCCTTTCATTGCTTTATCTCCTCTCTTTTCATTAAATTCCTGGAAATGTGAGGTCATGATAAGGTCAATTTTTTGCAAGTGGGCCTAAGTGACCATCAAGAAGATCTGCATTGTGTATAGGGAAAATAGACTTCTCTTTTAAAAATAAACACCAAGTATAGTTTATCCCTATTTTTTAAGACTCCAAACTTGAGTTGGCCACCCCCAACTAAACCCAGAAGTCTTTGAAAAGTGTTATGTAGCTTGTTTTTTCCTTCCTTGGGGGCCATTCCCCTTACTCCAAAGGTGTCTAGGGCCAGAAATGATGTTTTGGTTATAATATGAGCTTAGAGACAGAACAAAAAACATTTGACTCCTTTGTACTAAAGTCAAATATCCCGTCCCATTGCTAGCTACTCCAGGCTTGTGAGAATTTGAGGGTGATTTATTGTGTGCTCCAGTGCCCTCCCCAAACCAAGAACTTAATAGATACTATTTTGGATACACAAAAACAAAAGAGTTCTAAATGTGACAATAGCGTGCAAGTCTAATTGCTTCTAACTTTAAGTTACCCAAAAGCCTGGGTAATCCCTTAGAAAACCGGGTGGGGTAATTAGGTACTCAAATTCTTGGTTGTTATGGGATTCTCTCTGTTCCAGATCCCTCTTTCTTTCTTGTTGGATTCTGGGAAATGTGGGGCACACAAGTCCATTACAAGCTGGCAAAGAATATTGCAAAGGATCTTGCTTATAAGCCCACATCTTTGTTAGAATAAGAATAGCACAATTTTGTTTGGGTAGGTACCTGGAAATCAGGAAAGAGCATTCTGAGCCTCTGATTAGTGCCATTATTAAGTACCTGGGTGTTTAACTTACTATGGCCCTAAACTTAGGCCTATGCTCTCTAGAATTGATGCACCAACAATAGTTTTCTTGTCATCTCTGAAGCAGAGTCCTCAGACTCAGCTTTGGGCTCTGAGAATTAGAGAAGTGGTGAAATCTCAGAGGCTTAGTGTACCTTAGACTGGTCTTGCTTCTCCGTGTCCTTGATCACGATTATCTCTTTTTCTTCCAGATTCTCCAGGCTTAATTCACCTTCTGAGCAATCAGCAGCATTCTATGGAATTAAAGGGTGAGATTCTTATGAACAGTTGCTTTTTGAGACTTCTCCAAGCTGCTCCCCTAAGTTACCACTTTAAATTATGAATGTCGTATCTCCTATTACTCTTTTTCTTTCTGTAGGACAGGTAGGTTTGTAATGCTAGCTAGTCTTTGAAGAATGAGACAAAGTTCCCTCCACAAAATACTACTCCTTTCTCTGAAGATGCTCACAGAATCATCAATCTCAAGAACCACATTCCATGAATCATCACCCTTTTGGATGAGAATTTTTACAAAAACTTTTCTGATATGGTATCTTTCATGCTTTCTTTCAACCCAACCAACAACTTAAGTGGCTTCTAAAATGAGACTTGGTATCAAGAGTGATAGTAGATTCAGAGCCAGGGATCCTGGGCTCACGTGAATGATGATGGCGTTCCACCTGAGTCTCCTCCACCTTTCTACCCTCTGCTACAACCTTTCCCTTCCTTCACATGTCACAGATAACCCTTCTCAGCAGTTTCCCACCCATTCCAACTCTGAGCAGAGAATACCCACCTTGGAATCTTTATCTTCCACATTCAGGGTGGACACATCGACAAAGCATATCTGCATCAAATTAGGAGGGTGAATTTAGAAAAACACTAGAGAAAAGGGCAAACATTTTCTCTCTGAGAGATGATAATAGCACCTACCTTGTCAAGTTTATGTAAAGCTTTTCGCAGAGTACCTGGCACATAGTAAGTACTCAAATGTTATTACTGTATTATTAGGCAGACTAGAATATTAACATGACTATATTTCTTTTTTTTTTGAGTTGGATTCTCGCTCTGTCACCCAGACTGGAGTGCAGTGGCCACTCCCGGCCACCACAGCCTCGACCTGCTGGACTCCGGCAATACTTCCGCCTCAACCTTCCAAGTAGCTAGAACTACAGGCGTGCACTACCACGCCCGGCTAATTTTTTTGATTTTATTGTAGAGATGAGGTCTCACCAAGTTGCCCAGGCGAGTCACGAACCCGCGGGCTCAGGCAATTCACTCACCTCAGCCTCCCAAAGGCGTGGGATTACAGGCTGAGCCACCGAGCCCGGCTATGACTATATTTCTTAAATGAGAATACAAACCTGTTAGAGAGAGGCCCAAAGTACAATATCCACATGTATTAACTGAGAAAACTGAGGAGAAAAGTAGCTTGCCCAACTGACACAAACTCAAAGGTGAAGTTTGCATTATAACTCAATTTCCTTGGCTTCTAGTTTAGGGCACTTTCCATTATACTAGGGTTTCTCAAAATGAAGCACTTTTATTATCAGTGTTATAGAAGATTTTAAGTGATACATGATATTTCTGCATTTAATAGGTGCATTTTGGTTGTGCATTAGGGAAAATATATATAGAACATCAAACCTGTGTCATTATGGATAATATTGTTTAGCATGACAGTAGTTTTAAAAATGTAAGTCAGTTTTAAAAGCATTGCAAAAATACCCATTAAATAAGTGTGAGTGGTACTTGGACATGATAAAAATTGTGAAGTACTATGCAAATCACTTGACATTTGGGAAATAGACCATGAAGCATTTTGTCCTCCTGAGGGAGCCTAGAGTAACATACTAGTAGCTAAGTGACATTATTATGACTTGAGGGGTCTTAAATAATAGGGGCTGGTTACTAGGCAACCGCCACTCCTCCCTCCCCTCAAGCTCCTCCCCAGCCTCCCCTCCTCAGCTCCTTTATATCACTCCTCCCCCTGCCCCTCTCTTGCTTTATTCCTGTGTGAGGTATAGGCTGCAGCCCCCAACAGACCTTGTTGAGCTTGGTTGCTTGGAGAAGTCACACTATCATCCTCCATTAGTTTATCTTGGGCCCCAGGATATCTACATCCATACGCCAATCTTTCCTGTTCCTTGGTAGGAGTTGTTTTATATCTTACCACTTTCCGGTCCTGATCTTGCCATCCTGTTGGGCTGTAGAGATCTACCTTGCACACACCCCTGCGACTGTGTAACCAGTCAATATCATCAGACATCTGGAAAGAGAAAGAAAAGAAATCTGAGATGCTTATATATGAGCTAGAAATTGGGTCAGTTTGGATAAGAATCTCTTGCGGGCGGGGTCTGGAACCCATCTCTGTGCTTCAACTGGTGGGGTGATCAGTGGGTAAGAACACCCTGAAATGTTTGAACTTGGTTCCAGGATCATTATCTTTTGGTCTCCTTTAATTTAGATTCCTCACACCAAGTATTTGGAACCATGGGAGTATCATATTGACCCAAGAGAACATCAGTCAGAAAAAATGGTGGACTGGACGCAAATTTAAAAGGCAATCTAGAGGCTGATTAAATTTAGTGATTCACTTCTTCCCAACTCCACTAGCTAAATCTCTGATCTTCACATTTGTTTTCCCACTCGTGGGCACCTTTAAAGAATTCAGTTCCCCTCACTCCCTCTAACTTAATTCTAGCTAGCCCCAGTTTCACCAGTGTTTTTCTTATTAAATAAAGTGAAATTAGGTAAATAGCTGTCATACCTCACTCAGGGCCATTGATTTTATTGTAGAGATGAGGTCTCGCCAAGTTGCCCAGGTCAATATCAGTAAATAAAAACTTTTAAATTAAAACAACATATAAGACTTCAACATATAGAACAAGGTTCTGAATTCTGAGAAAACCTAGCCACAAATATAACACCAAGAGACAAAGATCTGAGAGAAGACCAGATCTTGATCCCAAAAGACCAACCTTAATTTTATTAGAAAGAAAAAATAATCTCTGCCAACTTCCTTCCACCCTCTTCCCCACCTCCTAACCAAGCCTGAAGCTAAAAGTAAAAATGAAATGGCAGAAGCCAATGACTGATTTTACTATATGAGACTTCAGATTTGTGCTGTGAAGACAGTTAAAAGTTCAGTAGACTTGTTTTGGTATCTAGGGCTTGAATTTGATTTCTTCTTAAAATTTCACTAGAGAAACCCTTTTTGCCAAGTTTTAGAGGGCTGTTGAATTTCCTTTTCCCTATAGATATCTTTCCTTCAGCTTCCTTAAAAATTTAGATCTTTTTTTCCCTCTAGCTCTTCAAAACAGTCTCATTCTCTTCCCTCCCTCTCCCCCTCCTCCTTCCTCTCCCCTCCTTTTCTCCCTCCTCTCCTTCTTCACTTCCTCTTTCTTCCCTCTCCCCCAACATTTTGGTAACAGCCATCCTCTAATAGCTATCCTTTCACATGATAATATTACATTCCTACTCTTTAGCATCCCTGTCACCCCGTCTCCAGAACTTTGTGGGTTCTCCCATCAAGAATCTCTATGAAATCTTGAAAAAGTTTTAGGAAAAGGCCTCCCACACCTTCAGAAGAGAGAGTTTCTTTTTTTCCAAGAGTTAGAGAACTCTAGTCTAGAAAAAAGAGGGTGGCATAGAGGTCCCTCACGTGATTTGGATACAGCCTGAGTCCAAGTCCTAAGGAACTGCAAAAAAAAAACCACCAAAATTTATGAACTCATTACCTTGGTAATGAACTTCTTTTAAACTTTTGGCTGAAATTGTGTCACCCAGAAGGGAGATGTGCCCCTTTAGATGGAACTGGGCAGTGCCAAGTTCTTGGGCACCTGCAGCTGGCTGCTACCCCTGTCAGCTGTTGGACTAGACTGATGGGCCAGGCTTTTCCCTGCTGGCTCTGACCCTTCTTTTGTTGAGTCACAATGCCCAAAACTGTAGTAACCTAAGCAAAGGTGTGACATGCTGACAAACTCAGCAACCTTTTCCCATCAAAAGCACATCAGGTTGTCTGCTATAGGACAATTTTTTTCCTGTTATTTCTAGACGGGTATACACATTTCTTACATTTTCTCCAGTTCACAGCCCCCCAAGACCTCCCTTCTCTTTGCTTCTCTTACTTGACCTCCATAACAATCTAATCATATTCCTATTAGAGAATCAGAGTTATGTGACAAGAGATCTTTGGGTTTATATAGAAACAGATAAGTGTTGATCAAAGTTTTTTCTTGGTATCTCAAATAACATTATGAGAATAAAAAGTTGGAGGCTGCCTTAACAGCCTCTGTGGTTTCATTTCACCATTAAGATGCACCCCCTCAGTTAGTCAAAAAAGTCAGACGTCCCTACCATCATAGTATCAGAGTAAGTTGTTACGTAGAACTTTCAAATGATGTTTTCTTGTCAATTTGGATGCTCTGATGACTCTTCCAGTCTGCCTCAAGATGTTGCTTCTTTCCTCAACCCTCCATACTCTCCTAAAACCTCGAATGCCAGTTGGTACCAGAACTTTTCCTTCATGACACCGCTGTTTCTATAGAGAACAGTGACAGCACAAAGTTGAGGGCTCTGTTCTTAGGATTCCAGGTTTTCTAAGTGGTCCAGCAAGTCCAAACCTTCCCCATCAGTAGCCCAGAGAAAGGCTGATCCAGTTGGGACAGGGTCAGTCTTTTATAGACTCCTGAAGCCATGAAAAGACTTAAGCCTTGCTTGGTCTTTTCTGTTTGGCCAGTGCTGGATTGGTGCTATAGTTTGGTTTAGAAGATTGTCCATTACACTTTGAGATGCCTGCAGTTCAGCCCCAGTTTAGAAGCATTATCCCACAACCAAATGGCTCTCATTGTGCCCACATCTTATCTTGTGTCTCCTTGTCTTCTCTTCCCATGTCTCCACTTTAACCTCATGCATATGGGCAAATGCATCTGAATTAAAATGCAGGTGAGACGATCCTCTAGAAGAGTTTCATGTTTTTGGTTCTACCTCCATTTCTTCTTTTCCTGGTTACTACTGAGATTGTATCTCTTAACCCTGTTATATGATTCCTGTTTGTTCATGGTGTCAAAGAAGAACAGACCTGGGCATTTGTTAAAGGTAGCAAGACATTTTATTTAGACCACTGCAGTAGGGGAGAGAAACTTCAGATGAACAGAACTCAACTCCACTGAAACAAAAGGAAGGGTGTGCTAAAGGAAAAGTACTGAGGGATATTGGGGGGTGAGGTTGGTAAATATGATTAGGGCATCTGTGTGTCCTAACTGGTGCTTATCAAAATTAGGGTCTATCCTCCCACAGAGACTGGGAGGCATGGGCCCCATCTTTCTTGATGGTTACATTTCAAGGGAATTGGTCCCAGGTCCTTGAGAAAGACACTCCCCGGGTTGAAGATACGTCTCTTGCCTGAGCCCACGGGTTCGAGACCCGCCTGGGCAACTTGGCGAGACCTCATCTCTACAATAAATCAAAAAATATCCAGGCTTGGTAGTGCACGCCTGTAGTTCCAGCTACTTGGAAGGCTGAGGTGGAAGGATTGTCAGAGCCCAGCAGGTCGAGGCTGCGGTGGCCGGGAGCGGCCACTGCACTCCAGTCTGTGTGACAGAGTGAGACTCCAACTCAAAAAACAAAAACAAACAAACAAAAAAAGACACATCTCAAAGAGATAGAGAAAGGGTTTACAATTACAAGCCTTTAAAAAAAAAAAAGTACATGCTCTAGAGAAAGGGAGTCAGGGCCTGTAGTCAGGTTTTGGCTTGAACAAACAGTAAATTATTTTGGCAGTACTGAGCTTTCTCAGGAAGGCATTTTACGGGGACTGGGATTGTCATCCTAGGAAAATGGCTTTGAGTTGATAGAAACTATGCTAGTGTTTGTTCGAGTCTCTTAGTATGTGTGTGTATGTGGGAGCAGGGGATGGACAAAATAGTTTGTGTTGAAAGTTATAGGTCATATAGGTCAAGGTTGAGGCCTAGTTGAGAAGTGTGTTCAAAGAAGCCTGACTAAAGTTTGGTCAAGAAGAAGGTCTTTGTCAATGGTGATTAGTCAAAATTCACAGTATAGGGCTTGTTTTCCTTACACTACCCTTTTGTCAAGGGGGAAGTTCTGATGATTAAAGACAAAGTTGAAGCTGCTGTGTCTGGCTCATCTCTGTGGAATATGAAGCAGAGGAAGAAAATATTTATATATTCTCCAGGAATAAGAATATATGTCCCTAAGAGATTAAAAAAACAAACAAAAAAAACAAAACAAAAACTCCCAGTCCAGAAAGGAATAACCATGATCCATGCCTGGAAAATATCTTACCAAATGATCAAATGACAAAAAAAGAACTACAGTGGATGATAAGAGCACTGTCTCATGGCACCCCAATCTTGTCATCCTGGAGGCTAACCAGAGACAGAAAAGAGCAGCAGTTGGATGTAAAGCCAATGATGAAAATGCAAGGGAAGAATCAAGGCAGGCCTGGCTCAGCCATATGTCACAGTATATATCCCCTGCCTCTTCTTTCTCATAAGCTGCTGAGGCCTGTACTGAAGGAGTAGGAAGGTTCAAAGAATTAAAATAAGAAATATACTGTGTTAGTGTGTGAATAGTTTGCACTTAGGTTAGCCTTTAAGAGCCAAACATAGAGATATTAAACACAAGAGTCTTGGTCATTTTTTCTAAGCATCATCATCCGTTTTCTAACCTTGTTTATTCTACCTAAACATCTTCTCTTCCATGCAAACCTGTAACTAATAGTACAAATCAATACTTTACACTCTCAGCTTGAGTTTAGTTTGAAAAAACTATTGAGGTGATACAAATGGGAGCTGTTTGCAATATAATTATTATGAATAATGGCAAAAGGAAATTAAATGAAGTGAACTATCAGCCTTCATGAAATTACCATCTGCCTGCTAGTCTTGCTGAGTAGCCTCCCTTATTTAGTTTATGTGATGACACTGTGACCATTTGGAAAATGGTCAGTGATGTCAGTGATTATCAGGCATCATTTATAATAGACCAATTATAATTGGGAACACTATTTCTTTTTTCCTGAATTGTTTCCCAGCCATGAGAATGCACAATGCCATTTAGAGAACCTTCATGCAACCATACTAAAGTGAAAAATTAGGTATTTTTAACATCTCGACAATAGTGCTACATAATTACTTCCTTCAAGTATTTACGTTATGTCTGTATTGTGCAGATGTTCCCTTTCCTATGAGTGATTGAAGCAGTGGAGGGAGAAAATAAAGACTTTTAAAAGCTATAAACGTTCTCTTTTAAAAAAAACTTTTGGGGAAGGCTGTTGAGGTAAGCAGACTCTTAGGTATGTTGGGGGTTCCTTTATAGGCAGGGACTTAATTAGGCAGCTAAAGTCTGTTCTATAACCTTATTGTAGAAAATGACTTACAGCAATTTTGGAGGGGTGTGCTTGGCTTGGCAGTGGCCATTTCTGGTCAGGCTCCTCCCTCTTATAATTGTGAAATTTCCTTTCTCTGATTTCCTAGAACATTTGCTTATTGTCAGTATAATTCATCTGACATTTACTAGCTCTGGCCTTGTAGAGTTAATTAACTTTTCCTATTCCTGGATCACCTACATTGCAAGCCTGGAGGGCAAGTTCTCTGTCTCTTTTTCATTGTATCAACCTCAATACTGGGCACACAGCTTGGCTCAAGAAACATATGATGGCCGAGCTTGGTGCCTCAGCCTGTAGCCCCAGCACTTTGGGAGGTCAAGGCAAGTGCATTGCCCGAGTCCATGGGTTTGAGACCAGCCTGGGCAACTTGGCGAGCTCTTGCCTCTACAATGAAAAAAAAATAAAAAATTAGCTGGGCATGGTAGCACGCACCTGTAGTTCCGGCTCCTTGGAAGGCTGAGGTGGAAGGATCGCCGGAGCCCAGCAGGTTGAGGCTGCGGTGGCCAGGAGCGTGCCACTGCACTACAACCTCGGCCACAGAGTGAGACTCCAACTCAGAAAATAATAATAAATAAATAAACATATGATGGTTTTGGAATTTCAGGAAGGAAACATAATTCTGAAGTCACAGAGTCATGGGCTCTGCAACTATGACCAAAAAACTTGGTTGACTCTTTGGGCGGGCTTCTTCCCAGATCAATAATTGTCACACATTGGTGTGCATCAGAATAACCTGAAGGGCTTGTTGAACAAGATAGTTAAACCTCATCCCAGTTTCTAATTCTGTAGGTCTGGAGTGGGACTGAAGATTTGCATGGTACTGTATTTTACAGGCATTATCTCATTTAATTCTCACAGTCTTATGAAATGAGCACTATTAAAAAATTTTTTTTATTTTAAAGATTATGGGGTACAATTCAGGATTAGGTATACAAGTGGCCACCGTACAGGTAAAGTTTGGGCCTCTCTTTGGAAATGGGTACTATTTTAATTCCAATTTTACAAATGAGTAGCAGGAGCACACAGGTTGTATGACTGGTGGACAGGCTAGACCTGGCACTGGCCGCTTCCATCGTCTTGGCAGTGGGTGGGGGTGTGTGTGTGCGTGTGTGTGTCCGAAGACTAGTACACATTTCTTTCTTCCAGGGTCTGGAGTTCCAGAAGAGAAAGTCCTTGAGAAAAAGTAAAAAGAGTACCTACTCTGATCTTCTGGCCCCATCTGGTGGTTTCAAGTCTGACTGAAAAAAGTGCCGATTCGTTATCTCCCCCTGCTGGTGACCGTGGTGGGGGCAGTCCGGCCGCCGTTGGGACCCGTTTTTCTGAGGCGGTTTTCCTGGTGGCGGTTACACAGAGGCGGTTATACAGAACCAGTTAGTCCTCTCTCCGTCTTCCCCTCATTCGTGTGTTTTGTTTTGTGTGTTTTGTTTCCGATTTCTATTGGCGGAGAATTCTCTAGTGCACAGCTTTTGTTCCAATCCATTTATGGCTTGTTAAAGGTACAACTTGTTCTGTTAGCCGTGAAAAGTGCTTTTTACCTTCTAGGTTCATTATGTACTGTAAATATATACATATATCCGGTGCCAGGGTTGGAGATGTGGGAGGAAAACTGACTGAGGAAACTAGCCTTTAATAAGATTGTTTGTTTCCCCTGTCAAACCAACAAACTTGTCCGGAACATCTGAAATAACGTTTAAGAAGTACTTAAATATAGTATTAATTGGTGACAAAATCTTTATCTTTCCCTCCGTATAGTATCTTTATCAGTGAATGAATGCTTTAAACATTATGGAAACCATGAAGGAGAGAAAGGGGATCTGGAAGCATGAAGCCTCTCAGGCCCCCATAGCACTACACTTGTGGGCACAAGTCACCACCCCCAACACACACCCCTAAGGATTCCTCTGGTTTTAGGGACATTGAAATTGGGTGAAGTTTGGCTTAGTCTTCAGCTTTGACATGTAGTTACGCTGTGGGGATGCTGCCTTCCCTCTTGCCCTCAAATCAAGATGGTGAATCGGGGTAATGACTTCTTTTGGCCACTAGGAGGGCTCAGCTGTTGGAAAATGTGTTCCCATACAGCACAAAGTCCCCCATTTTGAGTAGGCGTTTCTCAAATTAAAAGA